CCCAAAACCTCCCTTACTTTCCTCTCCTTGAGTACGTGATTAGTGACTCTGCTGGCCGACACAGGCGCTGGACTTCTTTCAGGTGGGAATTACTGTATCCTCAAGATTATGCCATCCTAATCTTATTTAGCCAACCTTTTCTTGCATTTCCCTTGCACCCAAAAAAAAAAGAGGAAAAGAATAATTTGAGGCCATACCAGGGAAAAAAGAGAATAAAATTCAATCTAGATTTCACAAATCTACTCTGACTCTCTGACTAAGCAATCAACCTTGTTTTACAATGCATCCGTTTTCTTATGCTCAATGGATTTGAATCTTCTTCTTCAAAGGTAGTAAGTCGTGTTTAGTGATTTGTACGGTATTACTTTTAATTGAAGTTCGTGGTGCTATTTCACGATCATATTGTCCTCTAGTCCATTGGAAGTGCCATCCATTGTTTAATGATCCATAACCAATGGAAAATTGTTTACTCCAGATGTATTAGCACTTTTAACTCTCCTAAGAACGGAGTATTTTGTAATGGTGGAATTGATATTTTCATATATTTTGATTTTTAATTATTCATAGGATTGAAATTATTCTATGCTTATAGATTTCATTATCTAATTAGTATTGTTATAGGAGTGTTGTTAAGTTTGTTAGCAATTTGTAGTTTTTATTAGTCTGGTCTTTCTCCTGTGTCTAAACTTGGGAATTCTAAATATTATAAAACAATTTATGGCATGAATAATATTTTTGTTATGGATGTGGGGAATCTTCATTTATTTTGAGATTTTGATGATTAGCGAATGTGAAATTTGAGTTTATCATAGAGAGGTCATTCAGATGCAGGTCTGATTGACTGACTGCTCCACGAAATGCAGTGTTTACTGGATGAATGATGTAGACACATGTAGTCTATAGAACTCTTTTATCATTATTTTCTTTTCTGTTAAGACTAAATTTGAATAAGAATTCCATTATTATTGTCTTAAAAATCTAAATATTAAATATTGTTTATGTTTTTTAAATGTATTAAGTTTGAGTTTGTTATACCTATTGTAAACTGTAAATGAAACTAAAAACTGATGAGATTGAATTCAAAACAAGTTTTATGGTTGGGGAGTTAAAGGATGATTTAACCATTGATTCCACGTCATTTAACTGGCTGTCCTACTTCCAGCTTTATTTTGCACATTTTATATATTGTGTCAACAATTTTAATTCTGATTGTGAATTCAAACTTGACTTCGTAGCATGAGCGAAAGGAACAAAAGCTGTATCTTTTTTTCTGAAAGAGCAAGTTTGAAAGTATTTTTTTTTATTCAATATAGGGTTGACTTAACATGCGTTTGTTTTTTTGTTTTTCTTTTTATTGATTTCTGGTTTTATGAGATAAACAAATTGTGTTAGGTTTGCTTTCATTGTGACCCAATAGGCATGGTCTGAATTTAACTATTATGCATTAGTGTTGCGTACATTAGTCCCTCCCTAAAGCTCAAATTGGTGGGGGCCTCATGCAACGGATACAAACTTTTCTAAGGATTATTTGAAGGTCATTATTCATTTAATTTTAATGATTAGATATTAAAAATGCTACAGATTTTTTTGGAACCAAACTTAAACCACTTAAAGATTTCTGATTTATTGACTTGTACTTCCTGAACCTGGTGTATTGTCAGTATAATTTAGAGTGTGTTATTGCAAAAATAACTCGTGTTAGGAACTAACTTTCAAGAGGATTTCCTTATATTTGTCTCCAGTCATTTTGTCAACTGCCTTGTTTATGTATATAGTAGTTATTCCTGCTTGCAGATATTTGTATTCTTTCCAAATGAACCAAAGTTGAATGTCAGTGTAACAAGAAGATATGCTGAACGGATGAGATCAGAGAAAATATTTAGAGGAATAATCGTTGTCCAAGAGGTTCCTACTCCCCATGCAAAACATGCAATTGAAGATCTATCTCAGAAATACTATCTTGAGGTTTTTTTGGTGAGTTTTTCTCCTCTCTTCTTACCCGAGTTCACTCTTTGAAAGCATCAACCATATTTTTAGTACTTATAATAAATTTCCAAACTGCTTGCAGGATGCAGAGTTGCTGGTCAATGTTAACAACCATATGCTTGTTCCAAAGCACGAGGTACTCAGCAATGAGGAAAAGAAGGAACTGCTGAAGCGATACACTGTCAAAGAAACACAGGTATGTTCTCTGGTGACATGGATGGAGCTTTGCAGATCGGTTGAGATTCTTTTCTCTCCCTGCTGCCTATGTTTAAGTGCACTAACTTATACGAACCTTGCTTACATTTCCATTTTAGTGCACACCATTGAAAATAATGTCAAGGCGCACGAGTTTTTACTAGATTTGGATTCAGTAAAATTTGGCTTGCTTTCTAATATAGCATACAATTGATTTTTTTCATATGATTTATGTTTCTTTATCTTGCATTGCCTGCTTATAAATAGATACTTGTGTTATATTATTAACTTTTCTGCTTGTTAGGGAACTCATCCTGTTCCTAATTAATATAACTTTCTACGAATGCCTAGCTCTCCTCTCAAACTTATTGGGAAGCGCTGGATTCTAACTATGAGTGGTTTGATGTTGATTTGCAGCTTCCAAAAATGATGTCGAATGACCCAATTGCAAAATATCTTGGGATTAGGCGAGGACAGGTTGTGAAGATCACCAGAAAGAGTGAGACCGCCGGCATATATATCACCTATAGAATTGTTATTTTATATATATATTATTCATAGCCGGCAGTAGGCTTTAGTATTATTATTGATGTATTCTACTTCTCATTTCATGTCACAACTGTATTATGGTAAGGTTTGCCTTGGTCTTCAATATAAGTGCTTGAAGGCGGAAAATATATTATTGATTTAAAGGCATATATATAATTAAATGAGTGAACATGTGAATTTTAGCGCTCTTACTTGGGAAAATTATTTCGTGCGGACACCGCATGCAGAGATGCATGTGGTGTCCGATCTCAGCCGTCCATCACGGGTTTGGTGAGATTTTTTTTTTAAATTTGAAAGTGGGTCCCGTCAAACCGGTAATTCTCGGGCTGTCAAAAAAGCTCGTTGTTCGCGAACAACTCGTGTTCGACTCGTTAAGCAGCTCTAAATGAGCCGAACACGAATAAGTTTTAAAAGCTCGAATTATAAACGAGTCGAACACGAACAACTCTTTGTTTGCTCGTGTTCGGCTCGTTTTAGTCGAAATTAAAAAATAGTATAATTATTTATATAATGATATATTATATATATTTATATCTAAATTTAAATCATATCATCTCGTGCGGTAATGTGGTTAGTGTTTTTTTTTATATATTTGGTCAATGTTCGAATCTCATATTTTGCATCTATTTTTTTCAATTTAATTTTTTTGAGCCAATTTCGAGCTGAAGACGAACACGAATATTTAATTCGAGCCGAACACGAACACACTGTTCACGAGTCAATTTTGAGCACGAGTCAATTTCGAACAAGAGTTATTTTGAACTAACTGAACACTCAATTACAGCCCTACCCGTGATGAACGGTTGAGATCGGACACCGCATGCAAACGGTGTTTGCATGGAATAATTTTTCCTTCCCCGCCTCTATCAAATTGAAACATTTTTATGGCTGGTGAACAAAAAAGTTTGGCTGTATCGATTATTAGAGAGGCTTACATGTGAAATGCTTCAGATCAAAGTTGAATTTTATTTGAAACCGTAGAGGTGTTGTATGGTCCAAATTGAACACACATCTGAAGAGGTTTTATGTATTCACATATTTACCACTTAATATATTTTTAAAATATTTCAAACACAAACTTTTATATCTTATAAAAAATGTCACCTTTATTATAAAAAAATGAAATACGACATTTCAGTTGTGTGTGAGAGAGAGACTTATAATTATAAAAAATAATATTTTAGTGGTAGATTTGTAAATGCATAGGAATTGTGGGACGTATGTAAATCTTTTTTAATATTATTATTTATTTTTATATTTTGTTTAGTTTTATAATAAATAAATGCAACTTGATCTCTAGGGCACTTCTACGTCATCCTTCCTCTTTTGTCCCCTTCAAGCAAATCAGGAAATCAAAGGTCTATCGTGGGAGAAATTGTTCAGCCCCGCAGCTAGCTAGTAAGAGGAAGGGATACTCTCTCTCCTTTTGGCTGATTACTTCTCTTGTGGAAGGAAATTTATTAGGAGTCGCATTTTATAATTTATATCTAATTAAGAAAGAAAAAAAAAGAAAAGAAAAGCAAGCAAGCACTTATTTTTCTCCTTGTCCATTTCCTTTGTAACATTATTTCTCAGATGTATTTTAATGATAGTGTTTGAACCTAAAATAACTTAACTATTTTGTTGTTGTTGTTGTTATTATTATTATTATTATTATTATTTTGGTGGGGTCGAGGGAGGGAGAGGAAACATATGAAAAATTATTTCATGCGAACACCGTATGCAGAGATGTACGTTGTGTCAGATCTCCACCGTTGATCACCGCAATGATATATTTGAGTGGGCTCCACTTTTAAGTTTTTTTTAATTTTTTTTTTATTGCATCGACAGTGGAGATTGGATGACCTACAGGAAATTAATTCATTTTTAAAACTTTTAAAATATAATAAAATAAACATATAAATTACAATTTTTTGTTATTTTGAAATAAAAAAAAAATAGAACGCGGAGATGTTTATTGCAATGGAATAAAAATAATGTTATACAAATTATGTATTATTAAAAAAAACTTTTTAGCAATCCGCATGATCAAAATCTATTTAGGCTCTATTTGAGGTTAGTTATCGTAAATAAGAAAAAAAAATGTTTGTAGGATTTTGGGTTTGCATAAAAAAAATTATAAAAAATATGCATCCTAAAAATATCCTAATTTATGGCACCACAAATAAATTAGATAAATTATAGGATCATTTTGACACTTTCTTAGGGCTATTAACGATTCAATTTGGAGCCGAGCTTCGGTCAATTCAAATCAGCTCTAATAAATTCGATGCAACATTTTGGCTCGTTTTTCGACTAGTTTAAAATGATGTTCGATTTATACTCGCTAACTTCACAACATTAACATCATTTTAAAAAATATTGGGATAATTGCTAATTTTTATTTTATTTTAATATGTTAAGTTAAATATCTAAATCTTAAATTCTACGTGAAGAGTAAATAAATCCTCAAAAAAGAAAAAAAACACCGAAAAAAAAAAGGAAGCCTTCGTAATGATGGCAAAACCCAAAATCTAGAGTGACCCTATGCTTCTACGAGCTGTGGTGCGGCGGATGCCGGAGCAATCTCCGGAGATCTGCGCTACCCTTCTACGGTGGCTACCGCAGCGACAACAAGCTCGATGGGCAAGTGGGGGCTTTCCGCGCGGCCGGCCTCGGCCTACCAAACCTGGTTTCGCCGGTGGTGAGGGCAAGTCAGAGTGGTGGGTAGTTGACGGCGAGATGCACGAGATAGGAGATCACGTTCCCCACCGAGAGCGCTTTGCAATGCGTGGAAGAAGGTAGAAATCAATTTTTTAAGTAAAAGATGGAAGGTAAGCATAACTATCTCTTCTATCTGTGACGTTGGCTCATGCATGGTGCTGCCCTTCTTCAGTTTATCAAGCCTAAGATTTTTTGCCCTCATTTGGTTGTATTGGAAAACTCCTGTCAAACATCATGTGAAAAGAAAAGGCAAGAAAAAGCCATTTGTTCATAACAAGATTAATTCTAAATTTTAATGCGTCTGAAGAAATATTGTTTTTCTTCCAAATTTTCATGAATCATAATCGGTGGAATATAAGCTTCCTGAAATAAGCTATACATGTCTTTTTTGATAATTTTGTCTATACCTTTTATTTTCCTAGTAATTCATAAGATTTGTAAGCTTTATGATGGTATGCATTCCTTGGTTATTATATTATTCGTGTTTAAAGTTAATGTTCGCCTTTTGAGAGTTATATTCTCAACTTTGAAGCAGCAGCATGGTCTTAATCCAGTCATATTTTACTTTTAACTTTTAGCTACGTATTCAAAAATCACATGCGTTCCGTTCACAAAACCTACTATGACTTTATCATTTTTGTCTGTTAATGTCTACAGGATCATAGTTTTGGTGGACCTAGATCTTCTGATACTTGGGAAAATGTCAGGCAAATTCGTGACAAGTTTGAATATGACAGAGAGAGAAAAATGAGAGAGAAAGGTTAGCTCTATCTGTTCATTTTACTGGTATATTTTTATTTTGTATCATATTGATGAAACCTTTCTTGAAAATTTAAATCATAAATTCTAGTTAGGTACTCAACCCCTTGAGAATCAAAATGGAATTATATTTCCTTTGTCCGCGTTCCTTCAAATTTGGAAGCATTTCGTCAATAACTAGCTTCCACCCTGTTTAATTATTGTCACCTTGTTCTCCTCACTTATGATTCAAATTATTCCTACATGATCGTATCTCAAATGTGCATGATGTCATGTTGAACATAAAGTTCCAGAGGGTGATATTGAGATACAATTTAATCTAACTCATAGAAAAAAAATTGATCGTATTTTGACATATGATGTGAGACAGTTGAGAAGCGAACAAATCGTTATGATTAAAATTCAGTGGGAATAAATGTTAAAAAAGGTAAGCCATACGGGAAAAGAGGCTAATATGAGACAATTCTATTCAGATATATTTGATTGTTAGCTAATTGTGAATGTTAAGGATGACATTTTTCTAAAGTGAGAATAATTCAACTATTATGGTGAGTTACATGAAAGCTAATATGGTGCTCGAAAGCTATAAAAATTCTATACCATATCACAAACTACCCTACTTTAAATTTCCGCCAATCTTTCTTTTCATAATGTAAAAATAGAGGGGGCATGTATTTCTCATTTTGACCAACTTAAGAAACAGATAAAACCTCAAATAACATATACTAACAGTTAATAAAAAGCAAATAAACAGTAAATAAAAGTAAGTACTATTATAAACACTATCTATAATTCCTATCTTGCCCTTCAAGCTATAGCACATAATCATGTCATAAGCTTATTGCAAATGTAACATGTATTTCTCATTTTGACCGACATAAGAAACAGATAAAACCTCAAATAACATATACTAACAGTTAATAAAAAGCAAATAAACAGTAAATAAAAGTAAGTACTATTATAACCACTATCTATAATTCCTATCTTGCCAAGCTATAGCACATAATCATGTCATAAGCTTATTGCAAATGTAATTTATTTGAGGATCTATGAGATATTGAGTGAAGATATATGCTAGATGATAATTTTAGTTGATAAAACAATGGCAAATGCACCTGGAAAGAAATTTTTTTATGCTGAAATGACAATCAATCCCAATGTTTTGTATTTTTCTCATGAAAAACTTGGTTGGAGACTATGCAACATTGCTTGATTGCATAAATCAACTTCATATGATTTTCGTAATTCAACTTTATTTGGCTTATTTCACCAAATTTTAATAATTGCAGCAAATTATTCAAACATATTAACTTGAGAATATGTTTGCTACTCTTCTATGACACCAAATTGAGAAAACAATATGTTGTCATAGAAGCTTATGTAAAGGAAATTTTACCTGTTCTGCAACAATTTAGTCAATTACTCAAGTTTGTTTTTTTCTCATATGGTAAGCCTTAGCATGATGCCCTTTTAATATATCTGAACATTCAACACGCAAAATTAAATGATTGTCATATGCTGATTGTAGAAATTGATTGCTTACACTTAAGAACAAATGAAATATTCAGTTGAAGAATCGTGAGATAGTTTAGTTTCCCACAAGTATTCTGTGTGGATATGATAAAGATTTACTTTGATCTGGTAAATGCTTTCAATTCGGATCTATTAGAGCCTCAATAGGTCTACAGTCCAACTTTTTTGTCTTTAGAATATTTAGTGCATTCATTTTGAAATACTATCACCAATACTTCGATTAAGCCACCTCAATACTTAGATAATACTTAAGTTCAAAATTGTTTTGTCCAGAAATGATTCGAGAAATGATATATTAACAAATACCTTCAATATAAGCAACCAAATAGATTTGCCAATCATTTTGAATGTTAAGTTGTTAAAACCAAGTGTGTCGAGATTGTTTAAGGCCATAAAGGGATCATCTCAACCTATTTACAATTTTCGAATCCCCTCAGGCACAAAGCCAAGAAATTGCTTCATATAAACTTTGTTATGAGCTGTCAATATATAAAGGCATTTTTAATTTCCATCTGATGAGTATGCTAATAATGCATGTCAACATATATAAGAAAGTCAAACAAAATGCGAATACATCTCATGAAACAAACCAAAAAGTTTTGAGTACGGCATTTGGCAACAGGGCGAGCCTTAAGATGACCAACCTTGGCATTGTAAATCCAATAATTTTTGTAGCCGTATTATTCTCAGAATCTTTTGTAGCCGTATTATTCTCAGAATCACATAAGTGCTTCCGAATCCTCAAAAAGTGTGCTATTTGCACTAAATTTAGATATTAAATATATAAATCTTAAATTATACGTGAAGTGTAAATAAATCCTCAAAAAAGAAAAAAAAACACCGAAAAAGAAAAGGATGCCTTCGTAATGATGGCAAAACCCAAAATCTAGAGTGAACCTAATGCTTCTACGAGCTGTGGTGCGGCGGATGCCCGAGCAAACTCCGGAGCAATCTCCGGAGATCTGCGCTACCCTTCCGCGGTGTCTCCCGCAGCGACAACAAGCTCGATGGGCAAGTGGGGGCTTTCCGCGCGGCCGGCCTCGGCCTACCAAACCTGGTTTCGCCGGTGGTGAGGGCAAGTCAGAGTGGTGGGTAGTTGACGGCGAGATGCACGAGATAGGAGATCACGTTCCCCACCGAGAGCGCTTTGTTATACCTAGAGATAACCTTCCCAATCGCCGCCGCAAGCAGATGCGCGAGCAGTTCATGCGCCGCACTCGCCTCGTCCTTAAAGAATCGGTTTGTCGTTTCTCCCTCCCTGCTAAACTTCCTATCCAAAACCTTTGGTTGGAAATGGAACGCTGATAAGTGAGCATTTGTGCGATTGGTTTTGAAGCAAAATCAGGAGAAGGTTTAGAATCGAATTTGGTTTTCTGTAGTTGAATTTGGGTAGTACGAAGACAACATCAAAGCGTTGTGTTCGTCGACTGATATAGATTTAGCCATTTATGGTTTTCATGTCTCTGTAAAATAGTGACATCAAGGAACAGTGATAGGGCAAAAAGTCATCCTAGGGTGTCATTGTAGAACTTATCAAAGGAGCGACTCTTCTTGCATGAAGTCAACAAATTTTTAACATATTCGCTCATTTGACATGATATATACAAGATTGCGTTGTAGGAAAAGATAGAGGGAGACTTATGCAAATTGTTTCTGTAGTGAATTCTTTTGTTATCATGCACATTTTTTACGCCAACGTCGTAGTTTATAAAGCATTTGAGTGGGCATGATTTGACTTATGCAAACCGTTTCTGTAGTTTATCTGGTAGGAACTGAGGGAGAATTCACTGTTAGTGTTGAAAACGATTGTTGAACTTTATTAAAAATTGCGGGAAATAACATTGTTAAAAATTTATGTGATACTATGTTTTGAAATCATTTCATTTCATGGCCTTCCTACAGTAAATGCAAAACCAACTAGCCTCATTAATGTGTGAGGTTAGTAAACTAATGGATTTTTTATGCTATTTATTCTAAACCATTCAACTGTCTCATCTAACATTTAGCACTAATGAGTTTGCATTGAAGAATTCATTATTTGCTAGGCTTGTGCAAGTAACTATTAGCTTGCACTTTATTTGTGCAATTGTGTAATTAGCTATATAAAAGTGAAAGGTTTCAAAATAGTTCCCTGGCTATTTGCAGGAGCTTATTTTAGTCCCAGAGTTTATAAAATTGCTCATTCAGTCTTCATTCTTTTTTGAAATGGGCTGAAATAATTTCTATCGAGGAATATTTCAGCCCTAATTTAAAGAATATGGGGACTAATTTAACGCTTTTATAGATTCCGGGGCTACAATGACCTCATCTAAAAATTCAGGGGACTATTTTTACACTTTACACCTATATAAAATAACTGAATATCTTTTATCCTAATTAATGCTCAAAGACTATGCTTTTGGGTGATCTCTTGAGCCTTATACATGGAAATCATTCTCCATGCCTGACCTGCTAGTTGATGAGAGGCAATTAAATACTCGTGGCTTGTCAGTGCAACTTGGGTAAATACCATGCAGGCTGGTGAGTGTCCCATAATTTATTTTTATCAGGGTTTACTAGTTTGGATCATGCATGTACATTGTTTTGTTGTTTGATGACAAAAGTTAGCTAGAACAATGCTTTTGATTTTCTTTCGTTGGCAGGAGCATGAGCCTTGGTGTAAAAGGTACATGGAACTATATAATGAGCTTAGAGAGAATTGGGAAAGGCTGTACTGGGATGAAGGTTACTCAAAGAAGGTTGCTGAAGATCATGCTAATTATGAATCTTCTGAGGACGATGACTCGGACTTTTCACCTTATAGGTATGCTTGAGATAAATAGGAATTGTTTTATTAAATTCCTAAAACATTTTCCTGGAAAATGCCTATGCTGTATCTCAGCAAAGATGACTTGAGTCAATTGATCATAACCATTGTAATTTATAATTAGCGAAGGGTTATAAATGTTTCTTGAAAGGACCAATCTAATACTCAAGGAGATCATTTCTTTAATTAATAGTTGGTAATGTTGTCTCCAATTATACAGTGATTACACTTTAGATTTGACAAAAATATTTGCGTGTTACCATTCCTTCTTGATCAATAGTACACAGTTCAAAGTTTTTGCTCATAGTGAGAAAGAAAATTAGTTGCGTGGTTGATATTTAACTTTTCATTGAACTTATAGTGAGGTAGGGATGGTTATGCATTTTTTTCTTTTCAGCCTATAATTTGGAATATTTTTATGTACATGGGTTAAGGTGCCCAAATTGGAGCTTTTTTAAGGAATGCAGGGTTTGGCTGGCAGTATTTTATTTTATTTTTTGTTTTTTGTTTGGTTGGCAGTAGTTGAATGCACTTAGTTCTTCCTGAAAATATTGTTCATGTAATATTGTACATTTACATGAAGCTAACTACACATTCCAACATAGGATAAGTAAATTCCTGCAGCCTAGCTGGAAAACCAAATTATTTGATGTATTCACTAAACTTACGGTGCGTTGATCTTGATATACCCGGCCTCTAGTTGTGAATGCATAACATGCCACCAAAAATACTTTCCGTGATGGTTCATGATACTTGCTGTTCCATGCTACGGGCCATCTACTTAGATTCTTGTCGCCTTTATGTAACCATTTGTTGGCCATTGCCTGATATTTAAGTGATAACTTATTTCGTGATGGTTCATGATACTTGCTGTTCCATGCTACGCGAGCTGTCAAGTAGACGACGCGAGCGAGCAGACGATGCCAAGTTGAAGTCGGACGCCCTCAGCAGCGAAGCAAAAGACGAGAGAAGCCGACGACGAAGGTGACGAAGAGGAAATTAGAGCACCAACACGAGGAATATCGAAGTAGCAGAGGCTAGGGTTCACCATGAGGCGAAACCCTAGCAGAGCGGAGACGACGACACATCGTGTGTATATACATATTAATATATACATATTTATATCTATATATATGTGTGTGTGTGTGTATTGGACATTAAAATATCTTAAAAGATTAAACTCTGTGTTCCATAGCTGTGAAGTCTTTATCTCGGGCATAAATCTTGAAGAGATACTGAGAATCACGCATCACCGTTTTAATTTATTCACTTATATTTTCTATAATTCATTTTTTTTTCATTTTATCTTTTTTATCTTGTTTATGTGCAGACTTGGTATGCTTTTTTCTTGTATTAGTTTTGCCAGTTGGTTGGATTTAGATTGGCTCAATCTAAACCCCAATACAAATGTTATTTGAATAAAAAATAGAAACTTGGCGGGATTAGAGTAATTTCTTTTTTTTATTAAGGCCTGGCTAACTTGAAAGCCGATAAATTTCTATATGTTTGATAGCTTCAATAGACATAGAGCTACTTTCTTAGTTTTTTTATGGAAAGAGAACGAGGTTGGCATGCAACTACATAAATGAGGGTGGGGAAGGAAATTGAGGCGAGGGTAGTGGAGAATTGCTTAGACAATTTATCATGCTTATCCCAACCTTTTAAATTCATAAAATAAGCTTATTTTGATCTAGACCATTTAAATATATAATTTGATTTTTCAACACATTGCTAAACTTTGCGTTGTTTAGATGGAGGGAAAAATGTGGTTGGCATGCAACTGTGTAAATGATGGGTAGGAAAGAGATCGAGGCGAGGGGAGTGGATGACTTTATAAATAATTTACTATTTCGATCTAAACCATTTAAATAATCGAAAGTAAACTTATGTTAACGAAGGGTGCCGCAAGCCTTGGCCTGTTGGTGGCGGGGTGGTTAAGGGTTCGATCCCACCGTGGCGCAGGGGCTCTAAAATTTTAGACACATGGCGTGGGCTCTCATCCTGGGATCAAAAAGCGCATGGGAAATCGATATTTGGGCTTCTGCCAAATATCGATTTCTATTATATGTGTATGTATGTATGTATGTATATATATATATGTATGTATCTATCTATATATCTATATATGTATGTATATATATATCTATATATATGTATGTATCTTTATCTATATGTAGAATCTTCTTGATCTTCTCATATTACCTTTCCATTGATGCTAAACTTAAAATTTTAATCTCCATTGGCCCACTCTCATACTTCCCTCTAATAGCGATTTGTCCATGCTCTATCATCTTTTCTCTATGCAATTTTCATTCTCTCTGCATGCTCTATCATCTTTTCTCTATGCAATTTTCATTATCTCTCCTCCTCCTTTATTGCTCCCCATCAATGCTCTCGTTGATACTATCTATCTACACTATTGATTCCTCCATTCAATGATTTCATATGCACTTTCTTTGACATGCATCTCATTGTCGACCTGTTGTACCTGATTTATATTACTTTTTTTCGCAAATTGGTTGAAGCTTTGTGAAACAAAACTTTTAACTACATTTCCAGTTAGTATGGTTTTCAAACTCAAATCAACATCTTCCATGCAATTTTAAGTTTACAGGGATTTTTCATAAAGACAGTTTAATATAGATTATACCCCGCCAGTTTAATATAGATTACCTCGCCCCCCCATGTAAAAATACTGACATGCATTTTCTTATAGTTACGTATTCATTAACATAATTATTTCAAAAATCAAAATTGCACAATGTGTCATATGTAAATTTGAAATCTATATTATGACGAGGTTGATGTGATATTTTAATTTGTATTTGAATTCAAATTAAAAATTGTGCCGTGTGGTGGTCATGGAGAAACATGTCAAAATTGTTCCTGGACTAATTATTCTCTCTATTTTAATCTAAAAAATGTGTCAAATTTAATCTCTTGACTACTCAAATCTGTTCTAAAATAGGTGCTTAACTCCTCAAATTTGATTCAAAGTAGTTCAAAAGAGAGATTATTTTGGCTTATATTTGAAGATTTATGGAATAAAATTGAACAGTTGTAAAATCTGGAATTAAAATGCCTCCTTACAGATAGTTGAAGGACTATTTTGACCTTTTTCTTAGTCGCCATATGATACTTTAAGTGTTTCCTCATGGTCCCAACATTTGATTGTCAAATTGGTTAAAATGTTAGGGTTCCAAGTGAATAGTGGGGACATAAGAGCTATGAGTCATGATTCAACAACAACAACAATAAAAATAAGTCTTTATTCCACTAAGTGGGGTCGGCTGGGTCGGCTGCATGAATCTTTGCATGAATCTTTTTTCTCCATTGTGTCTGATTGAGTGTCATATTTTCATTTAAGTGATTGATTTACAATTCAAATGCACATAATTGATTTATCCAATGTTATTCTTGCAGGAGGAGGCGACCTTTTGCAGAACTGAATAAGGTACTATGTTTTTCAACCAAAGTAAGCCTTGGGATTGTTTTTCTGTGGTTGTTGTTGAATATCAATTTTTTTTACCACTTAGTGTTTTTGCACTTCTGCCACGGTTTTTCTGTGGTTGTTGTTGAATATCAATTTTTTTAATTGATTTTTTTTACCACTTAGTGTTTTTGCACTTCTACCGCAAAGGTGTCTATCCATTGATGACTTAGGTGGTGACTAAGGGAAATAACAAATTTGTTTGTTTGAGGTGTTTGTTTTGTTCAACATGAAATCTTCTTTAAGTTCAAAATCAGTAAATAAACAAGCTTGAACAATTTCTTAAAATTCAAATCTTAAATGAACTAAACATGAACATAATCAAACTTGTTCATTTTTGTTTACGAACAAACTCGTTTGTTGTTCAACAAGAAACTTATTAAATACTCAATATGAAGCTCGAATATAACTCGATCACATATGATATATTATTTAAATAAGCTTAGACATATTAGTTCGTATTGCGAACAATATACCTTATGCATAATTTGCATAATTTTGTAGTATTTTAAGTAAATAGTTATCTGTTATGGCGTTTGTATAGAATGAGTTCACTGCTGAGGCGCATAAGCTTACCTCAGTTTATGGCAGCTGATTTTTCTGTAAATTTATTCCCAGTGCGTTAAATTTTTATGTAATTAGACTCGGGTTTTAAAATTTGTGGAATATGAGCTTTAATGTCGTTTGTTTTGTTTCTCAACTAACTCATTTAAGCAACTTTGTGAAGTTCATTCACACACATTTCATCATTTGTGGGAATCTCTTCATGGACTTCATAAGATATATTATCCTTGATTTTTGAAGCTACAATGGGTTGCGTTAGAATACTTGATGAGGGTTTTTATCAAACTTTGAGTGAGATTTTAATTGTTTGAATTTCTCTTTATGGCTTTTACTTGAAAGAAAGCCTCAAGAGATCCATGGACGTTATTTACTTTTCTCCGCTGACATCTGGTCTTTGGAGTGCATGGAGCATGAATCCTTCACTCTTCCATTAGCTATTTGTGGGTTTAAGATATGCCACTGAACCGC